TGGTGCCTCCAATTGGCGTCACACAGCTTAAAGACTAAAGTTCGGAACGTGCTTAGAGCCGGTGGTAAGACACGTCCAGAGCTAAATGCAGTTTTCTAACTACTGAGCTATAGTAACGCATATGGAGTCTATAGTCTGCACCGTGATTGTATTTAGTTGGAGGCGCAAAAACCTGCGCAACGAAACAGCAGATTCGTTACAACCCTAGCTGGTAGTTTTTGAAGATTAACTACCTGCTGTGTGGCCGACGATGCCAATCAGTCTCTGAAGAGCAGCAGCAGTGGCAGCAGTGAGTGTTGATTACTGGCGCTACGTCAGATCGCAAAAAGCAATCTCACTTATGTATGGACGTAGGAGGGCATGTGTACGAGTGGTGTGGTATTCATTGTGTTGGCTGTTCTACACTAGCCCCAAATACTAGTCCAACATCAAGTGGCATCGTAAGTACGCTGATATGTAAATTCCTCGCATAAGTATCACCACTTAATGTCATTGTGCTTAAACCTGCACGCCACCCGCGCTCAACACCTTCACTCGCCAGTTGTCATTGTGAATTGTTTGTGTAACAAAAATTGATTTTTATTTCCGCACAAATTATGAATTAATGATTTGTTTACTCGTTTTGTGAATTTTTTTCCTTCATTGCATTTGTTTCGTAGTTGATTTTACTTATTAACACGACTTCGCAGTTTGCGCTTGCCGCCAATAGGGTACGTTTGTTTATCTTAACAAATGTCTATAATTAGTTAATTTTTTGCAATTAAGCGGCGTACGATAACTACAAATAGATTGCAATTTTCGATACTCATACATATATTCGAAATTGCTGTTAACGCCTGCTTCCTCCACCGCGGCTGATGTCGGCTGGGCGTTAATTACGATACGATTAATTTTTGTAAAATTTTTTGGTTTGCCGTAAGACCCTCTGACTCTGACCACTCTTCGGCGGTTAGTTTTGGCAATGTGTTTACATATTGCCAATTTGAATTGCAAATTTTATTACTACCAATCAACAAAGCACAGGCGATGACGAGGGGATCACCGACAAAAGAGGTGTTGACTTATTAAAATTTCTATGCCAAGTTAAAAATTTGGACTGGTTTGCCATGAATAACATACACACATAGTTCAATGTCGATGCGGGGTAGGTCAACTGTCTCGTCAATAAAAGGCAATTAAAAAAAATTATTCCAAATCAATTCTTTTTTTTGTTATTTTTAACTTTTTGACGTATGTAAACTTTATATTTTGTTATCTTATTTGAAGAATATGCATGTGAATGTGTTTGAAAAAGAATAAAATAAAACGGCTTTGGAAATTTTAAAGAGAAAAAATACTCTTCACAACTAAAAGTTAAGTGTATGCAAGCTTAAAAAGCTCTTTGACTTTCCACGTTCTTTCATGACTATGAAATCCTTATGGAATGCCACTTAGTTTGCTCGTGTTAAATAGTTTCATAACTACGGGCTTTCAATGCGAAAGCTTAGAAAGCTCTTTGGACTTCCAAAGTGTTTCCTAGCTCAGAAGAATCCAGCCTCTACTCCTCAAATGAGTTAACAGCACAATAATATGTCAGCTCGAACACTGTTTATAACTAAAAGCTTTCAATCAGTCCACTTTAAAAGCTCCTTTGATCCATTAATAAGTTTTTAAAATAAAGTAAACAACTTTTCAGAACTAAGAGCTTTGAATTCGAAAGCTGGAAAGCGCCTTCAACAATCTTCTCTAGCTGTTGAAAGCATAGCCCGTCATGAGCATCAATAGAGAAGCTTGCTTGTCAAAGCTCAGCTTAAAATACTCTATTGAAGATCTTTTCTAATTTTTGAGAATCTTGAGACTGGCCATCGTATGAGTAAATATTATTTTATTCTTCAAGTATATCAAACTTTATAACTAACAGCTTCTAATGAAAAGCTCATTAAACTTCTAAAGACTTCTACACCATATAAAGATTAGAAGAACCATGAGAAAGCTCGTCGCATGACTTGAACCTAAACAGCTTAATACAAAGTTTTGAGACAGCTCTAATGCTTTAATGAGATCCTTCTGACAGCTAAGCTTGAGAGATTTCAGAATACAGACCTTAACTTTTGAATCCACAAAATAGAAAACCCTATATTGGCGGCTTCGATTGCCGAGAACTTACTGTCATTCGGTTGGCAAGTGTTCGAGTCCTGGTCAACATCCCAAATTTATAGAAAATTAATTTAAATAACAAAGTCATTTAAATTTTCTCTTTATGGTCGCCCCTCGACAGGGAATGTCAACCCCTCCGAGTATATTTATGACATGATATACAAGTTACTCATAAAAAAAAAATCCACCAGCAGTTCAGGAGCGGCTTAGTATAAGCTGTAGGACCCCTCCATTTGTTGGAAAATATAAAGATGCATACCACAAATTGGAGGAGAAGATCGGCCGCTTAAGCGGTTACCAAGCGCCAAGACCAGAAAGTTTCCGGATATCGCTTTTTTTCGATATTCGCGGTTTGGTTCATCATGAATTAGCTTCAACGGGACAGACGGTCAATTAGGAGTATTATTTGAGCGTTTTCAGGCTTTTGCACAAAAACATTTATCGAAAACGGCCGGTCTTGTGAGCCAACAATTCACGGTTTTTCATGACAATAATATGCCATCGCACTGAGCTGTAATTGTGAATGATTTTAAGACCACAACCATCGATCACTACCGTATTCACCGAATTTATTTTCTTTCCATAACTCAAAATACCACTAAATGGAAGACGTTTCGACACGACTGAGACCATAAAAGGAAATTCGCAAAGGGAACTGAGGTGGGCTGTTTTCAACAGCTGCTGCAAACGAACAGGCTCACAGATCGCGCTCATTTTTGACACAGTAATTAAGAACAGTGCTACCAACTTAACAAAAAAAAAGTGCTGAAAAATAGTCAGAAATTTGCGGAAACTTTCTTGCCTTACATACATATACATAATTGTTTCAAAACTTTCAACTCTCAGCCGTAGGTATTGAATTCTAAGAAAACCTTTTTTTCGGTTGAATAAATTATGAATACATCTCTATAAAAGTATTGTGTGTATATAGAATATTTTTATGTTGAAATGCAAAATTTCGTAGCTTTATTATGCGCTAATTTCAAATCAAAGTGCTAACGAGAATACGCTCGCTGGACAACAGGTGGTCCTGACATTTCAACATGTGTATCTCTCGATCATTTTTCATCTGCTTTCTGTTGTCATTTGTTTAGAATTGATTTGTTTCTCATGAATAATAAAATTTGCAAATTAATTTCTAAAAGAACAAAAAAAAAAAACACGATTGTAGAAGCGTAAATGTGTTAGAACTCTATGAACGTGATAATTTTTTGCTTTCAAGTTTTGGCTACATTTTGTCTACTAATTTCTTAGTTTATGTCTCATATCTAGGGAAATAATCGATGCGGTTAATTTAAACCTCTGCTGTTTTCATTAGCATAAGTAATGGGTTAAGGTCAGTAGCTTTAGGATTTTAGATGAAAAAATTACTCGAAATCTTAAAACTAATTTCTTTTATGGACAATTAATAAGAATGGCAATTTGACGCACGCGTTGTGTTTAGCCACAAAATTTGGTTATATAATGGAGGAGTAGTGCTATGGGAATGGAGGTTACGCGTGGCATGGTAAACAGTTTATGGGTATTCTTAGAAAAGTTTTAGATTTTAATAGACGAACGGAAATAATTGCCAAAAGATTTTTATGATGAAGTACAATGAGACTTAAAAATTCTGAAAAGCTATGCTGTTTCTTGGATTTCCAATTCAAGTACCTGTTATAGAAATTCCCAAGAAACTTTGGCTACTATGCTGTGCCTCTTTAGTCGCCAAAATCACTTGGCTATGAAATATGAAATTTACCTAGGACAACAAAGTAACCCATGCTTGTTTATGCCTAAATCTCTTCGAGTAACGACGACTCTCTTTCTATTATAAACAATCTCATGGCAGTTGCGGCTTCTGCATTCCGCACAAGAACGTGATTATAACCAGAGTAGATACGAGGCATTAGCCGAGTGGTTAGCATTGCTTACTGACATTCGGAAGGATCGGGTTCAAATCCAATTGTGAAACCAGTGGTTCTCGGTACGGTAAAAAGAAGTGCTGATACCATAAGTATTGTCGCAGCCTACCTCGAAATGACTACAATACGTGCGTGGAGTCAAAGACGCAGACGTAAAAAAAAAAACAGAAATAGGCTGAAATGCGTGAGTACGAAAGGCTTGAAGAGACGGCCAACAGGGGAAATGTCGAAAAGGCTATGAAGCGGGCCTGAGAATATTTCGAGACTCGAGATCTTTCCTGCAGGAACGAGAAAAGGAGTCTGATTTCTGTCGCTCAGGGTACACTTGACAGTCATAACTTTGAAGTTGTGGTCGATTTCGTCGATCTAAGCTCCATCATAAGCGCCAATCAAAATAACAGCCTGGAAATCAAACGAAAGAATTGCTCCTGCCAACAGGTCTTACTTTTGACTAGGCAGAACGTTGACAACATCTGATGAGTCGGCGTTAGGAGAGATAGATTTTGCGTAAGATTTAAAGTACTCTACTTATGAGCGGGAGCGAGTACCACAGATGATTTAATGATTAGCTGAACGAGATAACGTCCACGTTATTCCGTCAGGATGAATTGATGATGGAAGCACTCCAGCTTTGAAGGTATTCGACACAGTAGTTTAAGAGGAACAGGAGGACCTCCACACAAACAAGAAGAATAAAGGTTTTAGCCCATTTTATTAACTTTATGGATACTTTGAAATTTTACAAAAAAAAAAATCTGAGGATGTATTCCTATACCTACATACATTTAAAATAAGCTGAAAGATATTACATAAAATCTCATACATATTGAAAACTGATATGTAACTCCTCTAGTCTTTCAACAAAAAAATATCAAGAAATCATTGGTTGCTATTCGTCATTTAAGTTTTCATATCAGAAATCGCAACATTTCCACAATATTTAGATTAAGAATCACTTACCCAAACACGTTGTGAGATCCAAAGCGCCGGCATACAGACAACCATTCTTCCGTTTTATCACATTCGCCAGTTTATCCACGCAAAAGCACTCATTATCATGTTCCGGTCCTATGTCGTTGATGAAATTCTCACCAATTGAATAGCGAAAACCGGGTATGCCCTGATATTGTATATCACTCTGATAGAACAACTCGACCGAACGACAAATATCTGCGCTAAAGATATACATAGAGTCGCCACGTTTACGAAATGGTGGATATGAAGATGCATCGGTGCCATTAATTTGATTGCACATGGAAGTCTCGCCCTCAGAACCATTCAACCATACTTGCAGATTATGAGAATCGTCTAGTTTTTGTATTTCCAACACACGCTGGGCATCACCCTTGCCGGTATGCACTTCATATACCTCCTTGCCGGTGCCGTTTTTCTGGTGGATTGAAAGAAATGTAAAGTTAGTATGTGAGTTAAGGAACAAAAACAAATATTTATCATCGAAAATCGCTTTATTGTATTTTAAAATATTATTCATTAAGATCTGAACACTTTTGCCTGTGTTTGAACTTTCGCCGCTCTCTGATTGAAGTATCTCCAAAACATGCGTTTGGAACGCAACATCCGCCTCTCCGGGCGTGGTAAAACGTTGACTTTTCATTTTGTTTTTAATTTAGTTAAATAAAAATAGCTCATTCGGTTCGAAATCAGGACTATACGGTGGATAACTCAGTGGACAACTCATCAAGTCGAGGATTTCAGAGCTCAAAATCAGCGAATTTCTCGGAAGAAAACTCTAAAACTAATAATTGTGTATCATTAGAATTAAAAAAAAGTCTGATACGACTGGTATCATTTCATCTGTAATATCGGTCCATCAAGCCACTTGGCTAAATCGAAAAACTTGAAGCCAGAACGACCATGTCATGATAGACGGAAAACACGACTCCAGTGTCTTATATGTGTGCTTTCTTCAGGGACCTAACATTGACTCGCACCACTACCTTGTTGCTGCTCTGTAAGGTAAAGAGCGATCGTTAACAAATAAAATGAACGTTCGACGTCGAAATGCTATAATAATAAGGAATATGAGGATAAAATGGGACGGCGTTTCAAGTTCTTTATGGTACTATTCTGCGTTGTTCCAATGTTATGACCAGTTTTTCAAAAAAACAGGTAACAAATTACTTGGAAGTGCTTCGTGGAACAACTTTCAATGGATTCAGCTCGTCTTTAAATACCCATACAGTCGTTTGCTGCTTACCTTCAGGTCATAGACATGTTTCGAAGCACCGGTAGCACATTTCACTCGGCCAATCGATTCGTACCTTTTTTTGGATGATTGAAAAAATATGTGGGATCCAATGTGACCAATTTTTTTTTGCCAAACGTTCATGTATGTTCATATAAAATATAATTGGCGCTTTGTATTCGCTGAGGCGATTTTCGGCCGAGCTCCTCCTCCAATTTGTGGTTTTGCGTCTTGTTGTTTTTCTAACAAATGGAGGGACCTGCAGCTTATACTAAGCCGAACGACTGATGGTTTTTTATGAGGAGCTTTATTTCATGTCAGAAATACAGAGTGGACATATCCTGCCGAGGGGCGACCGCAATTAGAAAATTTAACTTTGGATTTAACTTTTGGATGCTACTACAACACCAAGATTTTTAATCAGAGCCTTTCGAATGTCAGTACGCCATCCCTTGCGGGTTAAAGGTCAAAGAATGTCGTAAGAGGTGACTAAAATGCAATATTTTCCGTAAGTCATCTCTTCATACCGAAACGACCTGAACTTTTATTCGACCAAGTATTGTCACTCTCGCCATGTTCCCCGAAAAGGCGGTATGTTTTTGTGGTTATTACAACTACAACACAGCACAGCACAGCTTCAATAGTTTTCAGACTCAACAACTGATTTTCGACGACTTTCACGAAATTCTTCTTTGGAGGGATCAACGATATTGATTGATGGTGTGCTGAATATGTTAATCGATGTACTATTACTGAGTTAATTCACATCAAAAGTTGTAAAAAATAAACGTTATGAATATTTTAAGTTACTGTAGACAAAACAAATAGTGCTCGCATGTCAAAGTGTTCTGCGTACGCATGACATATGAAATGTCAAACTTAACGATAAAATTGTCAGTTGCCAACTTGCAACACTGAGGTTGCCAAATTATGATACATAAACAGCAACTCTCGTAATAATGTGATAAATTGTGTGTGTGTGTGTGTATTGTTGCTTTTCATTTGCATTAAATACTCACATGATTGAAGAATGAGAATGCCAAACTGCCATCACTCAGTTCGCGTATCGTTTTGGAGCCACCCTCTTTGATTTGATTACAAATAGCCTTAGCAATACCATTGGGATTAATGCAGAAGCGTACGCCGTCAAAGAGGAACTCACGTACGGTGGTATCGAGAAACATTGATTTGGGATCATTGAAGACGGCCTTTAGATTGGCGTTGAGATGCACCAGCAGCAGAGCCAAGCCCGGATCATTTTCGGCGATGGTCAAAACCGACTGCAATAAAGAGCACATATATAGTGTGTGTATGTACGTATATTCATATATATTTAACTATAATCTTTTAGTAATAATTTTTTGTTATTGTTATTAATATTTTATGTATAAGATTTTTAATAACCCAAAACCAAAAGTTTAAACTTCATTTTCATGCATATTTACAGTTTTATTTCCGTTCAAAGCATTTTACTACTAAGCATTCAATGAGTATAGCATCAAAAGCAGAAAATAATTGAAAATAAAATATCAATTAGGGGTACAGGCGTTAGTTGGGTGAGGTAGAGGGCGCTAGGCATGCGTGTTAATTGCAATTTCAATGCAGTTAAATGAGCATAAACTTTTAATTACGGTCTAAAAGCAAGCATGTATGATACATACATACATATGTACATACAAAAGCAAACTTCACGTGTATGTGTTTATATATATATATGTATGTATATATACATTTGTATCGAAACTGAGAATTTTGACACATGTCCAACGTATGCCAGTGGCAATAATAAATGTTATTCGCACAGTATTGAGGTAATTAATTAATATATATATATATATATATATATATATATATATATATATATATTGCGTGTTTTGATATTAAGCCTTACATACATACATACATATACACGCATTTATTATATTTATGAAAGAATATATATATGTATTTTTTTTTAAGTTATGTAAATAAATCAACTAATCAAACACAGCCAAAGGCATATCAAAATATAAACGTACGAGGTGTGACAACTAAGTAATGATGCTGATTATAATGCCGCGATTGTGGTAACCCTGCGACTTTCTCCCGGCATCCTTCTCCTCTCCATTGATATATTTGCCTTCGCCCCGGCTTGTTTAGTTCGGCTGCTGTGTCGTGTTAAGCAAACGTGTGTTCGTGCTCGTCAGGAAGTTGGGAAAAAGAAATCAAGAGCAGTGCCTCGTGATAAAATTTTGCACCAAATTGGGCGAAACAGTTTCGGAAACGTACGCTAAAATTGTAAAAGTGCATGGTGATGGTGGTTTTAGTCGTGCCCAGGTGTTTCGATGGCATAACTAGTTTAAGGAGGGGCGTGAAAGCATGGAAGACGAGGCGCGGAGCGGAAGACAAGGCGCGGAGCGGAAGACACAAAGAAGCAAACCGTAAATCAAGTACTCTAAAGATTGCCCACATATAGCTCGTAACTGGATACTTCATCACGAGAATGCGCCGTGCCGCAACGCCCTCAGCGTGCCCCCGTATTTAGCCTCTAAACGTTATCGCTGTGTTGCAACAACCGCCTTATTCGCCCGATAAGTCAATTTGTGACTTTTTTTATTCCATAGAACAAAATCGGTGGTCAAAGGAATCCATTTTGTGTCGATTGAGGACGTCCAGGCGGCCGGGACGAGAGTACCCGCGGACATTCCAGTTGAAGCGTTCCAGTAATGTTCCGAAGCCTGGAAAACTCGCAGGAATCGTTGTGTAGCTGCCCAAGGGGACTGCTTTGAAGGGGACGGGAGAGTTGTAGAATAATTTTGAAATATAAGCCTTTCATGGAATCAGTCTCATTACTTAATTGTCACACCTCGTATGTATGCACAAAAAAAAAATAAATAAATAAAATAAAGTCAATGCCGCCTTAAATGGCAAAACGAAAATACGAAAACGATTCGAAGGTGTTAAAAATTGCTTTAAAATTATATTTATACTATATACAAATGCCGCAGAAAGTGACAAATCGTTGGTTATGTTCTTAGGCGACAGCTGAACTTGAAACATGCAGTAATGTAGAAAAGCAACAACAACTCAACTGAACTCAAGCTATCCTTAAGCACTTACTTTTACTTGATTTATGAGTTCGATGAAAATATTGTGTAACCAGTTGTAGGGTTCTATAAGTAGTATATAGGTACATACATGTATATAAGTTTTAAGATATTTTTCGATAAATATAGCAAAAAAGCAAATGAAGGGATTTCCAATAAGAGGTGTTATTTTGAATAGACTGCAATTCCGGTAAATGCCACTTTTGTTGCTGTAATTTTTTGATATTTTTGCAAAATAAAAACTACACCAGTAATAAAAATGGAACGAAACACGTTTTAACGATCCATAGAAACTATTCAAATTCACTATAAAAATGAAGTTAACCTGACACAGTCGGTTCGTAAAACTAAAACAATTCTCAGGTCGTCGTGAAGCACCTTGTATAACCGCAATAAAGATATTGGTGAAAAAATGGAGTTGTTGGGAAGAATAAAACACGTGCACGTTGCTCAAAACCCACAGAAAATATTGCTGCTGTAGCCGAAAGTGTTGAAGGTTTGTTCATTCTTCGTCGTTCTTTGGAATGGGACGGTATATTGCATAAAGACTGGGGTCCAAAGGCAAGTACTCAAACCGACTGATCATTGTGTCTGTACTATTTGGGTTCTTGAAATGACTGAAAATGATCCGGAATTTCATCGAAAAATCATCTTGACTAAACTGGTCCATTTGAATAACTGATATTGTCGCATTTGGTGCTCGGAAAACCCAAGATTTATTGTTGAAAAGTGGCGAGGTCATTGGACCTTAGTTTTTCGGAAATCATGCTGGAGCAACAGTTACGGTGAATAGATAGCGCTAGATAGAGAGATGATTAATGATTTTTCATTGCCGGAATTGCATGGTGTTGATCTGGATAACGGTTACTTTCAAAAAGGCGATGCTACGTGCCACGTAAGCAAGGAAACCGCGATATTTTAAGTTAAAAGTTTCTTTGCATATCAAAATAACACCTCTTATCGGAAAACCCTATTTAATGAGACATTTGAAATTTTGAGTTTAATTTATAAGGAAACAAAAAACAGAGAAAATTTGCACTTTTTATTTTATTTTATTTTAAATCATTACTAATGTTGATGTTCGATTGGTCTTAAAAATTTGAGTCTCAGAATGTACGGGTGTGCATTGTGGACTAAAAATTTTAAATTATTGATGACCGATAACAATATATTGATTATAAAGTAATAACCGTTATTTTGCGCCTTAGCAAAACTACATAGGTTAGGTTACGTCCCTGGAGACTTCAATCTGCTCCTCAAAAGTGCGGGACGTTCAATAAGGAAGTATCTTATTGATTCAGGTTCTTCTTGCTATCCTGTAGAAATCTTTTTCTGGTATGCTCAGCCTATCTATATGCCTGCTTAACAGAAAATATTTCGTAAGATATGGGGATCAAAAAATGTTTATTATTTGTCTAAAATAATCCCCAAGTATTTTGCAAACTCGAAGAAACGAAACTCTCTTCTTGAGAGCATTGCAGCTGGTAACTTTGAAGTCTCATATTTTAAGTGAATAGAACAAGCTTCGTTTTTTGTAGATTAATAAGCACATAAAGTTTGGCGGGAATTCCTCCTCACTGCCCCTCAGCAGTTTTGTATCGATACCCTTATAACTTTTATTGTGAAGTAAGTCGACACCTCAGATAGTAGACCTTACCGTAAGTGATGGCTTATCCAAGTTAATTTTGGCCTGACCAACGGGAACTACCCTCCGAAGCAGCGCGTCCGCTGAGTGTTAGCAGTAAAACCCGCCTGAGCAGCCTGCACTTTAACAATGCTCTACATAAAACTCTTCCAACGACTTTTCCGAGCTTCGATCAAACCATAATGGAAAACAATATTCCTATTTCCCAGTGGTTCTATCTTCTGCAGACTTTCTATCAAGAGGTGGTGGGAAAACTACATCTCCTCCAGAGATCCAGTAGTCTTTGCTGCTGCGAGCTCCTAAGGTACAGGAAAGTGTTCAAGTTTTAACCGACCAAAGATCCATACCCTCTGAGCCTAACAACGACTTCAGATGCTGTTCAGAGCGGCACATTGGACGATCTTTATCTGCTTAACTAAAGTAATTTGGCTTGACTATGTTTACATATATATATATATAGAAGAAACCCCCAATAATTTATCACAATACCTTTTTATTGCTCTCCTCGATAATACGGTTTCTTGGTTGGGCTTTTTGCATTCTCTATGGATGGATCTGCTCCATTACTAAGCTCTGCTGCTCTTATACTAGGTTTTTTGGTGAATAAGACTTGCTGGAATTTGGGGTTGAATCTACTTTTTACCATCTAGGTACATGAGGGGCCTTTTCCATCTACGTCACAATGGTACGTAGGACCGTTTCCAGCGGCATACCATTACAATATTTATTCTGAGCCCAAGAGAGGCGATTTCGAGCTGGGTTTCCATAGAAAGGAACATAGACTTAATGGTCCAAAGTTTTTAAGTACCTCAGGCAAAAAATTACTAAGATCCTCCTCCATATACTGTACTGATGAATCCAGTACACACAGTTGACGAAGACAGGACTAAGCTATCTGCACCCAGGCTTTTTGATTTGTTCTATAATGTAGAATTTCTATAAAAATGTGATAATCGGTAGTAACCCCGTACTGAGCTTTCTTAGTGGAATTCGGGGTGGTCTGAAAATTCAGCTTGAAAGAAACTCAAAGGAAAGTGGATATACTAGCGCTATGTATCTTCAAGTGAGAAGAGTTTGAAAAATTGATAAAAAGTAAATAAAAAATTTTACTTTTATTATATATATATATGTACATAAATATATATATATATATTCGACGCTTTGTAACCGCTGAAGCTATTTTTGGTCAATTTGTGAAATGTATCTTGATATTTTTGGAACAAAAGGAGTGGCCTTCAATTTATTCTAAGCTGCTTCCGAGCGGCTGATACACTTTGAGGGTTTGCCATTCTCTGTCGAGGGCCGACCGTAATTAGAAAAATTTAATTTTTTATTTAAACTAATTTTCTATAATTTTTGTATGAAAAGGGAAGCATAAATAATCAAACAGAAACTATTTTTTAGGATAAAAATATCATAAATATGTATAAGTTATTATATATACATATTCATATCAAACACTCTGTATAGACGTTAATTAAGGAACCTTCACACAACCGCCGGGATAGATCTTAGACACCGGTCAACTTATTTACATAAAATAATAAACTTTCATTATATAAACTAAGTTCTTTTCGCTCGAAATCTAAAAATTTGCATTCATGCAAAAACTTTTATGACAATCACAACGATTGTCTAAATTAAAAACCATATTTATTTTGTTCCAAACAGGAATATAAATTAGCATAAAAAAATAAAAGAAAGGAGAAATTAATAATAGATTAAAAATTCTTACGTAAATATATATAGTTATATATGCACATACAAATGCATATTTTTACGTTCCGGTATATTAAAATCAAAATTTATTTAAAATACTTTTTAAAAAGACATTTATATAAAGTTTTACGGGTTTTTCGACACTTTTTACAAATTTATATAGGAATATCATATTTGTGAGAGATCGAATATATCTCGAATATAAGTAAGTTTAAATACGAAATAAGAGAACAAGTAGAAAGATGAAGAATATGTGCGAAAATTAAGAGAAATTTTCGGGTAAAGAAACTTTGTGGTTTCTAAATTAGCAATTTTCTTTCATGACGAGTTTTAAATTAAATACTGTTCGTATAAATTTTTTTATTATTTCTGTTATCCCACAACAGATTTTAAAGCGTTACAATTTATACCGAAGGCCTCTTCATTATATTAAGCTCTTCGTTGATATTTTCGAGAATCTAATAAAAGAACCCACGACTTAAAGGATATAAATGTTAAAATACTACAAAATGTTTTTTTAAAATCTTTGATATTTGTTTCTCGTTATTTAAAAATATTTAAATGTCCAGCGAAAATCGCTTAGGTTGAAAATGAATTTTGAGTAGAGGTAAAAATTGTTATATCATCACAAATTTCAAGAAACTCACTAAATGTGTGCTGTTGAGGGGTACAAAAGTCCGTCAATGTCCAACCAATGTTCTAAATTGATTACGATCAGTCTGTAGTTTTTAGGAATCATACTGAATAGAGTTGAGAAGGTGCATATGACTCAGAGATATGAGCGTGCCTCCACAACTCTCTTTGTCTGTAAAGGAGCTAACAACTTTATACCTTTCATCTTTCATGACCATTTCAAAATTATTCCAAAAAGCAAAATTCGATTTCGACGCTTTCCGATTTCAATGTTTATTTGTATTTTATATACAGAATAAAAAATAAAATGCTTTGAAATATGGGTTGGACGTATTTTTGACCTAAATCCTCACTTCTGAACGAATCGGTTGATTGAGGGGTATACTATATAGTCCTACGATTTTGATATGTTCAGGAGATGACCAAAGAAAATTGACAATTCCAAGTTAGGGTAGGGTAGTTATAATATGGGGAACTGCAGGGCATATGATTTTTCCAGACAAAGTAAGAGCGAGCCGATCATTCCGAATAAAGAACACATTGCCTCCAACCAAATAAATACTTTTACAAAGAAGCCACCTTAAGGTAGAATAAAAAACTTCTGCTGCCACAAGTCGTGGCAAACTTCACTGAAACGGTAGTGCTTGGAGTGTTAGGGGTGCTGGGGATTCAATAGCTTACATTGACTTAAAAATGGAACATCTAGAGACTTTTGATTTAGGGTCGGCAGAGCTAATGATTAGAGAAAGAGACGATTTTTTTTACCTGAAATCATTTCGATATTTTGAAGTAGCTATTATGGATTGCCTTTGCTTTACGACCGGAACTAAAGTAAACGACTCAATAAAAGTCATAAAGGAGTCTAAGTCTCTAGAAATGGAGCTATAGAGTCAGCTGCTCGCATATCGGCAAACACTGCCATCTATTCTCTCAGCCTGGAAGCGAAAGTAGGATCTCAAGATGTTTATTGATTTGATACTTGGAGGTCTCGACTTGTATTACAACGTGCCATTTCACATTTTCTCACCTAACCTATAAGAGCGTGTGTCCAGTATGTCGCTTGCCTACCACTAATCGTTTAATTTAATATAATTTTTTATACTTTGCAAAAAAAATTAGTTATTTAAATACATTATATGGAAATCACCTCTACCACGAGAAAATAAGAATATTCTAGATTAGTAATGCAAGCACCAATTAATTTTAGAGAAAATTCGTAAGTAAATAATTCATATTTCATAAAATTTCTGTTTGCTTTTTAAAAGTAAAAAATTTACTTTACGTTTCCCACGTATGCGATCCATCAGACGTTTCAAAACACGAACGCCTGGTGTGCGGTTGAGCCTGTGATTTAATCTATTCGCGAAACCCTGAAAGATATCTGTAATTTCTCTTTCGAATACTTGTAAAAATGCCTGTAAATAATATAGAAGTTTATAAAAAGTGTGAGAAAAACCAATTTAACGCAATTCGGGCATAAATATATATATAATTTTTTTTTTTGCATCTGAAAGAAATATTTCTTTGGAGTTAGAAATGATCGTAAGTACTTTATAAAATTCCTTATAAAAAGCCTATAAGTATGCAATCAAAAGACCATTACTTTAATTCCAAGCAAATATTTCCTTTATAAATACAAATTCAAAGGCCGCTTACATTCATATGCATATTGAGTACCACAATCCGATCAGACTGCGTATACGGCGCGGATGCCTCCTCATCGAATTCGAAATGTTGATCCTGCACGTAGCTAATCTTTGAGCCATCGCGTGAGAAGTGTTTCACCTTTTTGCGACGATACTGTCTGATGATTAAATGAAAACGTTGAATTACGCATTTGTATTTGCATAAAGTAATTAACATACTTACCTATAAACATATGGTCCTATCTCCTCCACGATCGGTATGGCACCTTGTTGTATTCGCTGCGCATTGGTTACATTGAAAATGTACACTTTGAAGGTTAACGGTTGAGGGAGTTGAACGAAACGCTTATATTGCTCAGAGCCATCAGCAATTATAACACTCTGTGGAATGAGAGGATATACATATATAAGTACGGTGTGTGCGGTGGGAAATAATATTTTTTTTGTTGTGAATTTAGTTGAATATAAATTTGATATGCCCCCAATGTAATTAATAAAATAAGTTCAAGAGATCTCGCTGATAAGGCAAACGAGCGTTGCGTTTAATTGCCCTGTGATATACATATATTGACGTGACGTTAAAGTATAATTAATACATCGATACAATGCATATTCAAATTAAAGCGGGTCAATTTTTACGGGTGGGTGTTTAAATAACTACGAGTACATATAAAAATAATTCATTATTTTTGCAATAGATGGGCTCAGATATTTGTATATTGTGCTCAATAAGTGCGATTGGATTACGCTAAATAGCGTTAGAAGGATAATATTTTGTACAAAAAATGATAATGGAATAGGTGGGAATCGATTAACTCGCACAAAAATATTTATTAATAAAAAGTTCTCTGTCTAAAAATGTGTTAAATTAAATCATTTGACATAGTTAAGTGAATGTTTCAAAATAAGCACATCCCTAATGACCAAACAGATATCAATTTTTATACATTAATCCACTTGTTATCGTAATTAAGGAATAATATCGTTTGAAAAATACAAAATCGTTTGATATTCGACATTATTATTATGGGAATAATTTGCATTTTTTACATTCCAATTACTTAGTATAAAAGTTTAATTAAAAAATGGGTTAAATAACTTCGAAATTTATGTGAAGCAATTCATTATTGTCACGCAGGTTCTCAACTGTCAACTTAGCACCGTCAACGTTCATTTCATATTTTTTTTATTATAAAAAACATAAATATTTTTCAAATATGTTAATTAGAATTATTTAATGTCTTTAACCTCGGTGCTCCCGTTTGGAGTTCAACGTTTGTAGTAAAGTTTTTAATTTTTTAATTTTTAGAAATTAAAAAGGGATAATTCGACTCATATGAGGGTCATTACAATAGTAAAAAATTTTATGAAATTATATAATCTTTTTTTCCAAAAACAAAAAAATAAAAATATGTTAAATAAATCATCTGTTGAAGTTTTAACAAGATTTATATGCATAAATTGACATTCTACAACGATCAATATAATAGGTGGAGATCAAGATTACCAATAGATTTTCAATGAAACAAGTATTGTTGAGGTAAAAAAGAAAAATTAATTATTTATAAAGCAAATAATTTGCAAAAATTCAGAAGAATTTGGTTTATAGAAATGAAATAATTTTTGAGACAGAGTGATTTCTCCATATTCAGTGATTCAAAGCAATTATGTTATATAATTGAGGTACTTTGCAAGGGACGATAATGTTGCAAAGCAGATACAACAATCTGACCATCTCTAGATTCAAATTTATATCAAATCTCGAACGAGGTCAAAGAGTTATTATGAAAACAAAAGAATGATACACTCGCAATCTTATCAGACAGACAGACACATTCCTCATCTATTTCTTCATCTAAAAAAATCTCTGTTTTAGGAATAGTTGCAGAAAAAAATTTCGGCTTAGAACAGGAGCTCATTTAATGATCTTAAAAGCAGTAATTCTCCTTCAGTATGCCGGCAGGACCTAAATGAAATAAAATAAAAAACATTTGGTTTCTCTAAGAGGATTGGATAAACCACTAGGACTTAGTTGAGTGGGGCTAAAAAATGTATTAAAAAAATGGGTATTTCATAATGGCAATAGCCGAGTAGTTAGCACTACGAACTGCCATTCGAAAGGTCAGAATTCGGGTTTTGGTTCATTCAACATCCAAAATTATAGGAAATTATTTATAATTGTGGTCACCCGAGGGACTAGTGAATATCAAGCCCGCAAGTAAATAAATTGTACAGGAAACGCTTCCTTCATAAACATATTGTGTGAACGTTTCATTACGCGACTGTGATAAAGTTCCAATAGTGATTGTTCTCTTGGAGAATAGCAATAGGCGATGGAAGACGATCTAAGCTATTCTAGCATTTTTGGTAAAGATCTGACAAGGCATACACAACTACATTCTAACGGGCGATGGCTTCCTATGAGGAATTTCAATTTCCCTCCTCCGAGCGGCGGAGCAAGTCTTGAGCTCTAACCTTCAAGCAAATGTCAGTACAATGCTAATCACTCGGCTTTTGCAGCAGCGTGAGATTAGTCTCTCAATCAATTCCAATACAAACTGTCAACGAACTGATTGTGACGCAGTAAAAAGATCTATTAGAAAAGGATCAACATATACCATTTCTAGTCAATTTTATATTCGACATCAAAATAAAGGAGCTACCTCTATGCTGCCATGTCTGTGTTCGAATTGTGAGATCCGCTTCAGCCAAGCTGGGACTTCTTTCACTTAATGCAACGTAAAATATTTTACAAGAACGAACCACAGCTGGCTCAAGATTTTGACAAAATTTATTTCAAAAATCGCGTTTATGTTTGGAAACGAGACGACTGAGTTTGACAGTTAATGAGAGCAAGCCGAACTATCACCTTTCGTCGAACAAACAGTCAGCACGCTCGCGTGTTAGCTCCCACGTCACTCTTTATTGCCATTACTTTGCAGTTGTAGGCGGTTTTATTTATCCAGAAACAATGTCAGTTCGGTAATCTTGAAGTGATTGGGTAATTGAAAAGTGAGGAGCTCTCTTAACGAACAACGACCATACTCTAGAAGCTACTCATCATTCCGGTCTTGCTACACGTGTATGTTGCGGAGGCATTGACGATTACATAATTTCATAAGTCGCTGTTAAGAGTTTTCGTTAGAGACCGCTAGATCAGTACACGCTGCTGGATGCAGATGAAGAGGGAGGTGTAAAGGTCTGTAAAGGTCCATGCTATTATCACATAGGTGGTGCCTGCTCTAATTAAGAAGAAGAAAGCTATACATTATCTTCCTCCCCTTTCCCTCTCTCTCTCTACTCTAGTCTGCCGTGGAACACAAAAAGAGATGAAAAATAAATATTTGAAAGCGACAGTGAACCAAATTAATCTCCTCAGTGTTGTCTACAAGGAATATCGTTTCTAAAATTAAAAACATAAATGGAACATTTGAAAATTATTTGAAATAAATTCATGCTTCTTCTTCGTCAATACATTCTTCAATGAATTTATTTATAACCCCGAATGAATAATGCGCTTTACCTTCTAAATGGCCTTAGACAAGAATGCGCTTCAATTTATGCATGCGGGTAGAGTTTTATGTGGCAATTCGGACGTTCCCTGCATGGAAAATACCAAATAACACTTTATTCTCCAAGCGAACAAATCAAATGTGGCTGACGAAGTGAACAAAAAATTCAAAAAAAAAAATTTTTTTTGGTGGCCAAATCCAAAATTGTTGCCTCGACTTCAATATAATTCTTCTAGGACGCTAAGAATGCATTGACAATCAAAATTGTCCAAACAACAAATTCAATATCGAAAGTGTTTTTTATGTTGTTTTTGTACACCAAATGCATTCTCAATGCTCATTAATTAAAATTCTGTTCGCGTTGGGCGCATACAAATTGGGGCCACGGCAGCCGGCCTGAAGGCAGCAGTAAAGCAACAACAGATCGCGCAACAACAACAACAGCATGAAAAAAATGCCCATTACAATGACAACTTGGCTAATTTACATTTATTTGGAACAGTCCACATTCTGTTCTCTTGTCATATTTTAGTGGTCTTCTGCTGTTTTTCCTTTTATTTTAATTTTATTTTTCTTTCTTAGCAACTACAATAAATGAGTAGCTGTGTTAAGGTCCAAAATAAAATGTTTGTAAGGTTAAGTGTGTGATTTTAAAGTCGTTCGCATGCAAAACATGCATAAATAATAACAATTTAATGGCATAAACGAAGGCAACTCAATTTAACAATTCTGCATTTGGAATGAAATATTTAAAATTTATACCTACAGATGATATTTGTATATATGTATATATGTCAGCTGAGCAGATTTATCGAGCATTCTGATTTCGTAAAAAAAATATTACGCAGACAAAAGAAGTTTTGGATCGTTAATTGTTTCTACGCTAAATGACGGGTGATTCAAGTAGAGGTACTTTTTTCAATAGCCTTTTTTTGGCAGTTCACGCATGAGTCATGTCAAGCTGAACAGCGTTTACAAATCTTACAACTTTATTACACAAAATTCAACTTACACGGTCATCAACATCGGCCTGCTAAACGTACTATTCGCAACACCATCACCCATATTGAGAGCCAGTATTCATTACTGAATAATATTGGACTGAATAGACCTGGCACACGGTGAAGGAAATATTGAGAGTGTACACGAAGACCGTGGGGAGTCGATTGGACGCCGTTCACAGCAACTCGCACTGACGTATCGATCGACTTGGTGCATTTTACGACGATATCTTAAGTTAACAGCGCACAAAACACTGCTTGGGCAAAAGCTAAAACCGCTCGACCTCGCTCCGCACTATGGGCTCTTGAAAAGTTCCAAGAAGATTCAAAGTTTCGAGCCAAATTTTGGTTAACGAAGAAGCCCCTTTTTTATAAACAAGAAAAATTGTCTCTGCGTCGCCAGAGCTATTTGAATGATGCAATTTCTTTCGGGAAAAAACACCGGTTTAATGTGGTTTGAAATCATCGGTCTATATTTCTTCAAAAATGATGACGTTCTCACTATAAACGTCAACCGACCGTTATCGCGTCATGATAACCGACTTTTTCATGCCCGAAATGTAAGATCGTGTTATCGTCGACATTTGGTTTCAACAAGACGACGCAAAATCCCACACATTGCATCGATCAATGAATTTTTTGAGAGAACACTTCGGTGAGCGGATCATTTCACGTTTTGGGTCAGTCGATTGATCACCAAGATCGTGTGATATCACATTGTTAGACTTTTTCCTGTGCCTATATGCAAAGTCTAAAGTGTATGCGGACAATCCCGCTTCGATTTAGGCCTTGGAGCAAAGCATCACTCGTGAATTGAATTTTCTGTAATTTTTTTCCATAAAACAGTTGGGAACATCGAAATGGATCA